AATGCCACCCTGCAGCCATTCCCCTCGTCTGACTGCCACCACGGCGCCATCAGGCTCCGGAACACGAAGCACAAGGTACTCGTGGCGGAATGGCCAGTTCTAGGGCAAGCAACAGCCTTCAGTGCCCATCGGTGGGGTGGTGCATTAGGGCCTGGTCAGGGATGCACAAGCCAACGCTTGGCCTGCACATGCGGCATGTACGTCGGCGCTGCTTTGTTGTCCAGGCAGTGCACCACCAGCGACGGCAGAAGCAGGCCTAGGGACAGCTGCAGAGCGGAGATTACACCGATGCAGCCGACGCCAGGGGTGCTGCTGTACAGCGCGCTGCACACGTCAGATGTGCTGGCTGCTGCAAAGAACACGGACACCAGCTGAAGAGGGGCGTGAAGGAAAAAGCGGACCTGCAGCGAGGCAAGGCGTCAGCGAGCTGTTTGCAAGAGCCACGTCTTGATAGCGACATGGGCATTACAAACCAGGACACAAAGCAGAAGGCATGCACACAATCCCCGAAAAGACAAAAGAAACTAATGTGGAGAGAACTGTCAAGCTGCATGGACTGCAAAACATTACACCAGGGCACTAGGACCAGCAGACAACCAGCATACGGTCGAGATCATTGACTGAAGTTGCGTGGTAACCCTTCCTAACGTGATGGCAACAATTGCTTGCTCATCGGTCCCTCTGTTGTGGCACCATTAACGCATTGCTAAAAATTGTCTGGCGCATCATCGAATCTTGCAGCAGCCCATATGCAAACATGCAAAGCCATCAAAGGGCCTGTGTCAACCCAAGCGTTGCTTCCCTGGATCAACAGGAAGCAATACGTTGGTGTTGCTGACACAGGGGAAAAGGAATGCACTTCTGCTATCCAGGAATAAGCGCCACTGTTTGTGTGAAACCGCATTGCATCATGTGCGTGTCATTTAGGATGAAAATCAAAACAAGGCATGCGTACTACGAGGGTATGCACTGCCATCCAAAATTCGTCCAAAATCCAACGGTTGAATGCACCGGATAGAGCAGTATTTCAGAACCGTGCGACTCATGCTCACTCATGCATCACGGTGATCCGACCTGGCATGGCGTCCAAGAGTGGACCATTCCCTTGTTGCCCATCACAATTGGTAGGCCATTCAATGGTTGCTAGAGTTTTGTGACCTCTCACACCTTTCCAAATGCGATGTTGCATTCGACTGTTTGGCAATGCTTTGACGTTGAGCAACTATCCCTTCAAGACCTGGTATTTAATTTCGACCAGTTCAGGAATAGTACACACACCTGAACGCCAAGCACCACGCAAGCCACCAGCATGAAGCCAAGCAGGAGGACGATGTAAATGTCAGGCTCATAGGGCACCGTGCACAGCACTCGCCAGGACATCCAAGTGTTTGCCACAGGCACCACCACCACGCGGTATATTTGAAATACATACAGCACAAAGCTACTGCAAGACATCCACACACACACACACATACACTGCTAAGAAAAGTACCGTTGGCCATGCCAAGGTGCATGCCTTGGCAGGTTGCAGCGCATCACAAACCCACAATATGAAAAACTGTGGGCAAGGCACACATTACATCCATGCTGACCTTGCCCCAAAGTAGGCAACCAGGCAAGCATAAATACAAGATCAAGGTATGATGCTGACATGATGGATCCATTGCCACCAACACATGTGGTGGCGAACCTGTTCAAGCAGCAACAGCTATTCTGTGCAAGACACCGGCAAACTGTGCACACTGGAACCAGGTCACCATGTCCATACATTGTTCATCTCTGCTTCATACCCTGACCACAACAAAGACCAGGGAACATAGCAGAGCTTTCGACATTTGGAATGCTGCAGGGTCCTCACCCGTAATGTATGTACTGCTCAAACCACAGCCAGCGCAAAAGTAGCAGCACTATGTCAAATGCTGCCACCCCCATGCAGAGCAATATGGCGATTGGGGTCTCCCCGTTCTCCTTTGCGGCCTTTGTGAAGTAAACGTACACGATGCACATGCTGACGAGGTTGAAGAAGAAGTCTCCCCAGTCAAGATCTAAGTCCTGGGGTGACCCATAATGGTCTACCTCGAACATATGGTTGTTCCGAATGGCTGTGGGAAAAACAAAAAATTCGAGTTGCAGCAGACATGCAGCAAAGTTCATTCTCAAATCGCAAATGCTTGTTAGCTTGCTTCACTGGACATTTGCACTGAAAGGCGCAAGGCGAAACTGAGGAAATGTGTCCACTTGTCATCCAATTGCAGTTGCATTTGTGGTTTAGTCATGCACAGTATTAGCAGGGAGGCTGCCTGGGAAGTCCCCAGCCAGCGCAGTATTGTGCCCGGGTGCCTTCAATGGGGACTTCATGTCAGGTAGTCCTCTAGATCTGCATCCATGACTGGCATGTTCGGATCATGGGCCAAATCATGTTTCAAAGAGGATAGCACAGGATGCACACTTGAAGGAACACATTGTGCAGCACAAGCAAGAACAAAAAAATACAGGTGCTTTCAAGTGTGCACGTGTCCATGTGCTTGCGTCGAAACAGTGCTCACCTGGCTCTCTCTTCCTGGCAACCCGCTTGATACTCTGGTCATCTGCCCCCATTGGGCCCCCACTGCTGCCAGTGCCAGCAGGTGGGGAGATGGCTGTGAGCTGCTTTTGGCCCTTATTACTCTCATTACCCCAGGTAGCGCTGCCACTCTTTGCACTGCCCCCAAAACCACCCCCAGACCGTTTACCCGCCTGCAACAAAGCCAACCCACATTTCGGTATACACATGTCCAACGAAATTAGAAAAGACAAGTCTACACCAGCCAAGACAACCACGGTGGGGTTCCATCCTTTTCGCTTCAAAGGTGCAGTCAAAACGGTTCATGTTCGAGCAAACACTTTTGCTGTGCAGCAAGCATATAGCGCAAAGTGCGAACTTGCTGTTGGACACGATCAGGTTCAACGTCATTTGTTGACGACTGATTGGATACACACCCCAAAGTTGTTGGATATGCCTGCAATTGGTCCAAGCCAGCTGCACCCAAATCAAATAAAGTGCTCAAATAAGCTGTATCCGATGCACTGAAAATCTGCAAACTTCGCACCCCTGGGGTCCATCGTGATCGGCAGATGAATACCAGGGCAACCTCAAAGATGCCATGGCAACCACAGCATGTGCACATCAATGCAGCAGCCACATTGGTTCGTTTGATACCAGAGGTTCCACAAGAAGTGGAACGGGTGGCCGATGAAGCACACGCACACAATCCCACACCGCTGCCCCAGTGCATTCGACGATGCGTCGCAGATGTTGAGCTCACCTTCTCGGCGTTGTGTCCAGATCTTCCATCTTTCAATGTCACTTCCTCACTTGCAGCACCACAGTCACCTTGATTCTGCATGATGGCAAACAACTGGGGTCGAAGCCATGTGCGCAGAAAGAAAGTCTACCCACAAAATACTGCAAAATTGTGCAACACACATCTCCCACTGTTCAATGTCATGAATGCAATCTGATTTCATATTTGGCCAGCAACAGCCACTAGGATTAACAAGATGCCATAGCATATTTGGTACTTCCGCAAACGACATGATGCCTGGCCCTATTTGTGGAACCACAGAAACAATGCAACCATGTTCCTCCTGAGACATGCTGAAGGAGAAAATCTCTGGAAGGAAAGTGGCCCAGATAATACTGACACGAGCCTCAGCAGCACCAAGATAATCTGTGGACTGGCACCTGCAACCCATCGAGGCCATGCCCATGTAGAGCTGGGCACAAGTGGGCTGCAGCCAGGTTGGGCAGCCGATGGCACAGAACGCCACGTGGGAATGCCGCTGCAATGGCATGGATCCAAATGCCCCAGTTTTGGCTTGCACAACTCATGTGTCACTGGCCAATGACCCAATGAAATTTAGGGAGCAGAGGCCATACTGCGAAGTTGACAGCATGGTGCATGAACCACTGCAGATCTATTGCCTGGAAGACTTGGGGCTAAATGCAAAAAGAAGTGCGTACAGTAGTGGCACACAAAGATCATCTCCAAATCGAACACTGTTTACAACGTTTCTGGCTGGTTTGCTCCAGCACCAGCAGTTCTAACCCGTGACAGTGCACAAATTTGAACTTCTCCCCAAGGTCTCCTGGCCTCCATACCCGCAGACTGTCAATTGGCCCACCATTGGGCATGCATCAGCCTTTGATTTTCGACCATCAGCACCCATGGCTGGCTGCACTGAACCATTGCACGCACTCTGACGCAAACAATTGGATTGGCTTTTGTGTTGCTCTCCAGCGCAACCAAACATGTGTTCCCACAAGCAGCACAAAGATCGTGTGCTCATCGTGCCACAGCCCTCCCAAACCATGCCTGCCACCACCCATGTTGGGCTACTCATACCCAGGGCTGGTATTCAATGCAGCCTTCAATACTATGATTAGTGCAGCTTTTGCATTGGTCCCAACGGCATCCCACAAAGCGTTTCTGCAGCTGTGGCCCCTTCCAAGGCCGGATCAGCGTGGAATAAAAGGACAACAAAGGTGTATCACAAGGCGCAAGAACATAATCCTTACAAAGGGATGCCAATTTTCGAAATGCTTCATGCCATACAAGTTATGGTAGTGTTGGCAACAGCCTCAGCCCTCAAGAGCAGCCTGCAGAACCAGGGCTGCTAACCATACCTTTTGATTTGGATTGGCGGCTAGTGGTGTGATAATGTCATTCACAAGCTTTTGCATCTCCTGCAAACACGCCAGTCATGGGCATAGTGAGTGCATTTTCTGTCTTGAGAGCTGCAGCAACTGATTTCTGTCTTGAGAGCTGCAGCAACTGACAGCACTGCCAGAGCTAAGAACATGCGCAGAATGACAACAGCTGTGGGCAGATGCTGCCAGTGGAAACCCTCACCATTCTCCTTGTAGTGTACTTCAGTGCTCTCGCATATGGCGCCAAAACAGATGCCAACAATGATACAACATTCTCCCTGGCATCACACAGCAGCATGCCTTCTCAGAATGAATTAACGTGGGAAAATGCAGCCCATAAGCAAAGGTGCAGTGTCAGAGGCACAGAGGGCTAATTGTACCATCGACCTGCGCACTTCTGTGCAGGTCACAGCCTCAACACAAGGGCAGTGGCCCTGGCTTCAGCAGGAGCACAAACACAATAGACTGCGACCAGACTCGCAACGAACATTGGATATGCTCCCAACAAGTCACAGTTAGACAGACCACACTGGTCCATGCACAATGCAAACCATCAAGCCATTCAATTCAGCAGCAAGGCCATTGCACTGCTCCATTGGCACTATGGCAGGTGGCACATACCTGTCAAAGGCATTGTTGGCTGAGGATGCCAGGCATAGGACTGCCACAACTTGCTTACATGAGTACATCGGCACTGCCACCATGGACTTTGCTCCCTTTTCATGCAGGGCCTTCCAATCTAAAAAGTGGGGTCCTCTGGTACAATGCACAAGGACATGCAACGTCAGGCAACAATAATAAGCATCTCAAGAGCTTAAACCACCCATCTCAAAGCCTTGAAATCGTCCTGTAATGCAGTCCCCGTGGTTCATGATTTATTGCTGTGGGTGCTGAACAGCATTGCATGTTTCCATCCTGCCATTCGAGGCATCCAGAATGCCTTTCACATAGTGGAAGAATCTCACCACCTTTTTGCCCTGAAGCAGTTGGGCACTGCAAGACAGGTTCCTCTTTCTTCGCAGAATGAACCATCTGCCTTGCAAACCTCACACCAGGCTGGTAGTTCACAACAAAGGCCAAACCAATGGCCCAAAGAACAAAAACAATGATACCTCACTGGAACTGACTGAATAGCATGAGAATCCAGGGCAAATGCTTTTCGCATTCAGTATCAAAGGTCCGCTATACTTGTGTTCATCCATTTGCATCAGTTCTCCTGGAAAATAGGAACGGCATGAAACAGGCTGCAAACACGACACACCATGTGCGCCATGAGCACTTACCGCTCAGCATAGTCTGGTGTGCTCACTACGTCGGACACCACCACCCCTGAGTGGTAGGCTGCAGCACAGGAAACAGGCCATTGAGGTGGTGACTGGACCACTGGCCCCCTGCCCTTGTAAAGGTTGAAAACGCAGCAGTTTGTCCAGTCAAGGTTGTTGGAAGGGCGGAATGCCAGCACCTTCTCCACAAACTGCCGTATGGTATTGTCTGGTGGCGGGAAAGCAACCACGACCTGCTTGCTCTTGTTGCCATTCCCATTCTTGTTGGAGCTAAAAGGGAAGCCATGACTGGCATTGTTGCCATTGTTGCTCTTGATGTCTTTTGGCAGAAGCAACACACTGCAATGCCACACACATCCAGCTAATGTTTAGTTACCAAAAGGGGGACTTTCCGCAGGACACATCAGACTTCTCTCTTCTGGCGTTGGAAGAAAAGAAGGCCAGCTGTACACTTCATGGAATTCTGAAAATCCCCATCCTTACCGTACCCATACTGAGCTTCAATCACAGACACTATATCTGGGACTGGACTGCTTGCAGAATGATCTCCCACCCATAGGCACTTCAATTCACCAACAGCAACCCTGCAACCTCCTTGTGCATCCACCACCGGCTCTACAGAGCAATGGCATCCAAGGGACTCCACATGCGGCACATTTCGGCTCTCAGCCCTGTGCCTGCCGCCCACGAGAGGCCGTGCACGGCTGGCTGCAGATCCGGCACCTTCCACTTGCCTTGCATGCATGATGAATGGGAACAGCTTTTCCACCTGTTCCAGGAACAGGCCGAAAATCTCGGCGGTGTTCCGAGCCTGGGGCAGTTGCCTCACCAGCTCGTTCACCTCGCCGACCTCAGTGTCGGCCTGGACGGCCTGCGCGGCACAGGCGACGCCCGGTCAGGACCGGAATCGCACGAGATTCCGGAACGAGCCACGCCGACAGGCCATAAAATTCCGCCCCCCGGCGGGTCCGGCGCCACGGGACCGCGCCGCTGCCCAGGACACCCCCACGGGAGCCTTAGACCCGTTCTCCCAATGGCGCCACGCTGTCACCGGGGGGCCCGCAGCAGGGGATGCCCTCAGGAATCCGATTCGCAGCAACATCCAAGTCCCCCGTCAAGGGTGGCACCGATTTCCTCCCAGGCCACGGCCCCTTCAACCTCATTCTAACGCGCAGGGCGCGCCGCCCCCTATGCATGTTCCCACACCGGTCCTCCGCTCCCCGGCTGGGACGCCGAGCACCCGCCACGACGCGCTGCCGGCCGTTCCGCCGGCACCGCCCCTCCCGAACCCCACACCCACGCCAAGTGCCAGTCCCCCACCCCCCCATCCCCTCATCTTCCCCTGCCAAGCTCCCAGCCCCCAGATCCAGGCCGCCCGCCCCTGGGCGCCGCGCCCCACCTCTGAGGCGGGGCAGTGGCTGGGCTTGTCCGGCATCCTGCGCCCGTAGGTGAGGCATGCAGCGACCACCAGCAGCCGCACAGCGATGAGGATCAGCACCACGCAGGTCTCAGACGCGCAGAAGCCCCCGGCCGTGCGACGGAGAAGGTACTCAGCCATGCGAGACGCCCTGCGCGGGGCGCATGTCCCAGGTGCGCCGCGCCACAGGCACACCGCCGGGGGGGGGCCTCGGCTCGGGCGCGCGGGGAGTGGGGAGGTGGGCGCGTTGTGGCTGGGCCCCGTGCGGTGCCGGCCAGAAAGGGGATGTGTGCCCGAAGGGCCAGGCAACCGGGTGCGTGCCTCTACTACTTGGGGCCGGGTCCGACGCTGGAGTGGGGCTGAATGCTCCCAACGGGAGCCACGTCAAGTTGGGCAGGCACGTACTCAACGCGGAGCGGGCGGGTTTTTGTCGTAGGTGTGAGGTGCTGTGCTCGGGTGGTGTCAGGTCACAATCGAATAAAAAAGGGAGATGGGGCTGTGGAGAGCAGGGAGTAAAGGGGTGGCGATGGGCATGTACCCACCTGAAAACTAATGTACGTACTTGAGAGTCCTTGAGTCGTTGGGCCGGCAAGGGCCATTTGATAGACAACGCAAAGCTGCAAGTAGTCACACAATGGAGCCAGGACTGGTTCTGATGGGTCGTTTCCGGGGTGGCCACTTCATCATTTTCTTTCCAACGGGGACGAAAGCGCGTTGACGGCCACGAATGGTAACATTTCAAGCGCCACCTGCGCTGCTTGCATGATGGATCGTAAGGTAAGCGCCAGGTAGCCTGCCAGGGGCTGCTCAGGTGCAACTGCGTTCACAGAGTGACCACAGGTACGGAGTCGCTGCTCTACAATGTATGTGGCACTCATACATTGATAATCCCAAGCTGATAGTGCATTCCGAGTGTCCCAGGTGCTTCTTTCCCCCAAAAAGTGCACTGCAATAAAAAGCACATGTCTTAACGGCTTGGTGGCAAGTTGAAAACCCATAGTCACGGCACAAGCCACAAGGCAGGTTGCAGCTCACTGTTCTCTTCATGATTGACACAATACCAACGCAATGGGCTTGGAGTGGAGGACGCCCTCAGCAGAGAGGCAACTGTTTTGATGCATAGGCTTGTCACAATTGGCAGGAAAGTCAATGCCTATTATGGCCCCCAAGAGGACTGACATGCTGCCACGATGAAGAGTGCAAAACTTGCAAACGGTGTGTGTCCTGCTGAACATGTTGTTTATTTTGCTCCTTTCTGACAGATCTGCCAAAGGCGGGCATCAATGCATCGGGCTGCCACCAAAGCCCACATATCAGGTGGCACTATGACACACAATGGCTGTGGAGCACCACAGCATGGCTGGAGGGCCATTGAACAGATCTACTGACACAATGACAACTATGCTGGCTTGGGGCCAGGCACAATATGGTGCCAGCTCTGGACAGCCCAGTTCCATACAACACAAAACACGAAATGGAACGAGTATATTGGTGATCTTGCTCACTGCACACAAAGTTCTGTTTGCCTTTAAAGCTCCTTTGGAACATCCCCACATTCATGTATACCGTCAGCAGCTGCCTTGCATGAACAGTTCCATGTGATGCACAGATTTTTGAAACAGGAATGGTTACATGAAGCCAACATTGCAGTCTACCCACTGCATGTTGCATCAAGAACTAGCAATCTTTGCAATTCTAACCCGGCTGCAAGCCTGTCCACAGCCACCCAACCAGCACCAGAACTTGATTCAACCAACATCCACAAGTTTTTGTGCCCTACCTTGGCCTCGTCGTCAAACTAATACATGCTGCAATGCATCTTTTGCACAGAATTAAATATACATGAAACACAAGCAAACAAAAGCAGACCACTGGCAGTTCCATCACTGACAGGGCCCCTCACATTCGGTCCCTTGCTTCATGCACCAGCCAGGTTAGCCACCGGCAAATTCACTGCTGGAAACGACCCCTCCAGTTTTCACACACCTAACATCCAGCAGCTTCAGGCCCATCGGTTGATGGGATAGCACTCTTGATAGGTGAGGAATCGGGCAGCCCACACAAGCAGCATGCATAGAAATCACCTCAAATCGTCAATGTCATCATTCTGTTTGCCATCCTTGCGGGCCTGGATGTGGCGCTTGACAACAACAAAATGGACGTCTTCCATTCTTCCTGTTGACACACCGCCCTTCTTGTGACAGGCTACACCTGGGAAGGCTGAAAACAAAGGTCGTTGTGGGACTATGGAGCTCATAGGCAGTCGTCCAATCCGTTGCAATCAACCACAAGGTGAGAATGTACACGTGCAAAAAGGGACTTCTTGCTGGGGTGAGATGACAAAACAGCCATAGGGCTGAAGGGCGCAGATGACACAAACAATCACTGGCCATCCTCCATCGACACAACACCTGTTGACTGCACCCCATCAAGTTCTCTTAACAGCTCTATTCCACATTTTCATTCAAATGAAGCCTTGCTATATCATCTTGTACAAGCCCACAGCGGGGCAATGCAGCCGATCAGAGTTTCAATACCATTTCATTCAAGACGCAACCTCACAAACTCACCAATTTGGATAGTGCATTATATTGTGCCACTTCATCAGTGAACAGCCGAGAGGCGTCCCCTGCAACAGCGTCTGACAATTGCTGCAACAAATTGCACTCCCTGGAACCAGTAAACATGATGTCCACCTCTTTGTACCTCTCCAACATTGCAGGGAACCTCTCAGGGTCCTCATAGCACAAGCAACAGAGCCCTGCACTGAGAAGGTGTCCCTTCGCACTGTATTTCAGCAGGTTGTGGCCTGCCGCTTCCCTCGCAACATCCTCAAACGCCTGCAGTCACAGAAATCTTGATCCTGACTTCAAACCATTATTCAAACATATGTACGAAAATGCGAGAGACAGAAGCACATCAATACAACGAAACATGTTCATCCACGTTCATCAATACAACCTAGGAATCTGCATAGCAATGAATGCAAAAGGTGAAAACGTTGCACCAACACCACAGCTACATGATGCAATGTCTGGTGGCTATCAGCTGCTGCTGCATATCTACTTTTTAGGATGTGCATGAGGGGGCAATGAGCGAGTCTATTCCATACAAGGCACAAAGCCAGAACTGCGAACAAGGCGCCACTTGTCTGCAATTGCCACAATTTGACAAGTGAATGGAGATAAAATGGAAAGTGGTGATCTTCACCCTGGACAGCCCAATGCCTGAAGTGCTACAAACATCAACGCCTCACACATTGTGCCCTAAGCGGAGTCTGAAAAAGCTAAGTGAAGCAATTTAATATCCAATTTCAGTGGAAGGGGATCGCAAAACTGAATTAATGGTTGAAACCGCAGAAGTGGATGCTGAACATCTGGCTAGACATTGCACGTACTCAGTGATCATGGTGCCAGATGCTGATAGTCATATTTTGCAAGTTGGAACAAGCTGTCTCACAACTTGCAGCCAAACGGCCAGTGGGCATTCAAAACATGCTCCCTGAGCAACTCCTGGGCCAACCCGTGTGAGGATGTGGGCTTTCAAATAGGTCAGCTGTGAACACAGGAGAGCATTCCAGCTTTTCACTAAGTACCACCTCAGCACCACATAGGTGCCGTGACCTTAGTTGTTGGAGTGTCAAATTTAAGGAAGTTTGATTGATTGATTGATTGATTGACCTCAGCACTGCATGCAGCTCCTGCATACCCCAACAGCTTGCTTGTGCTTGGCAACCTTTGGGTGGAACAGCGCTACCTTCAAAAAGGACTTGTTCGCTTGAGAATGTGAGTCCTCTGTCAGGAACAAGTCAGCTGCCTTCTCATAGAACTCGATGCTGGATTCAAACTGTTCCTGCTTCTCTAGCTGCTCTGCAATATCCTGTATGTGCAGAATCGAAAGTCATGAGAGCAGTCTGTTCAATGCCAGGGTGGGATGACTGTTGTTACATTAACCCCAGATCCCAAAGATGACATAGAGTGTGACAGGTACTTCCCCTTAGTATTCCCCTTAGTAGAAGTAGTGATCTGAGAGGGTGGTCGCTGCTCGATGCAAGCAGGAGTGGACAAAACAAATGCAAATAGAGACAAACAACAAACCAATGGAGAATCAGAGGTCCCTTGCAGGCTGCTGGCGCAGTTGGAGGCCAAGGTCACAAGGTAGCACGCCGACTGACTGAACCTCCCCATGTCTGTGTATATTTCCACCCCAGTGTGCAAACCCTTTATAGCATCTGTTGCATTGCCACAAGCAAAATAATTTGGCCACCTTCAGGGCTTCGTCAGTGCATTGACACTGCAACAATACACTGTGCACCTGCCACACTGCCTTAGTAGCCTCAGTGTGCTTGGCAGGGGTTAAAACTGCTGAATTTTATGGCCTGCAGCCAACTCAGCCACATCCAAAGTTCACCTAAATCAAGGCAACTTATATTTTTTGTGAGCCATTGCAAATGAACTGTTCCAGAGAACAAGTACTCAGATTTCTGGATTGCCTGGAGAACAGCCCTCACCATCAGAAGGAATCTTCATCAGCGCTCTGGCAGCTTCAACCCAACTGGAAGCCTTCTCATGGTGGCTTCCAAGCGCATTGTGGAATCCTGCCAGCTGCTTGTGCACGTCACCACATCCCTTCCCTACAGGCCAGTTCCAGCTCTCACCTCACTCTCCAAACCAAGCGCCACCGCGCCCCGTTTTGGAAGCCAGGAAGACTGGGCCCCGCACATTCCGCTGCTCACTGCCCCCGGCTGAAGTCCCTCTTAGTCAACAGGTTCTGCCTATCACAGAACCCTTCCCACAACGCACACTGTGGTCCGCGACAGCCACCACCAAGCACATGAGAGCCGCACGCAACATGGCCTCAACCAAATCAGCACAAACGCGCCAGAGCATGAAAAAGGCACGTTGCCCACAGCACACTGTCCGACCACAACCCGCCCGCGCATCCAGACCTCCGCCATAGGCCAATACAAATGCTTTCGCGAGTTCAGGTGCTTCGCGGCGCTGGCCAGAAGCTCTGCGGCGTCCTCGTACTTGCTATATGAGCCAAACATGCTCCAGCCTCTGAGTTTATTGTTGGCCTTTGCGATCAGCGCATTCGCCCTGCCCTGGGAGCCGGCCATGGCTGCGCTGAGCCCGGTGGGCCCCGCGCGCCTCTCTCGCCGATGCCGCCGGAAAGGGAGTCAGTCGTCCACGCAGCGCCGCAGGACAAGCTTGGAGGAACTCGCCCTCCATGCAGACCCTGCCTGATTGGCAGGCGTTCGGCTGTCGGGGGTGGCCTGTGCTCTGTGTTTGCTGTGCTCTGTTTTTCACTCTCGCTGCCACGTCACCATCACATGTCGGGAAAGCACTGTCGGTCTCTTGAAGGAAATGCCGTTGATGCGATTCATATAATTAACTATCCTGTTAATGAGTTTCTGCGAAGGGCGACGATTGGGAGGGCGCGTAACGGCCAGGTTGGGCCGTTCCGCCCACTGGACAGTTTGGGGCCATCCAATAGCCGGTTTCTGTCACCCCTGTACTCGGGGTCAGTGCTGCCCGACGTATCCAAGGGAGCTTGGGTGGATCTTTGTACCTTGGGCGCGGCCAAGGGGACCGGTCAAGCTGGCCCTTGGGTTTGGCGGGGAGTTTGGCGGCAAGTGGGAGTGCTATTTCAGGCGCGACCCTTGGCGCCCCCCTTATCTTGTTTCGCTTCGCGCCAACACCTTTGGCACAACCCGGAACCACCGAGTGGTTCGACCCTCCGGCCTCCGCGCCGAGTCCTTTCTGTATGAACCCCAGCCCTGCCGACCAGTGGCTGCGGGCACAGGCGCTTCGTTTCAACCAGCGCCTCCCTGACCGTCCTATCGAGGTTACGTGGGTTTCAGACCCCCGGTTACTCCCCCGCTCAGTCAACAACCGCGTCGCCAGGCCGGACTTTACGTCTTTCCCGGCCTGGTTCGACGTACGGGAGACCGGCCAGGGTCAAACCGTCGCCGCGGCCTTGGGACCCAACTCCGGCTACTTCCAGGAGTACGCGAGCTGGGCGCTGTGGGTCGCGTGGCAGTTCGACTACACGGCGGCCTTCGTGGACCTGGTCGCCCACCCGAGTCTTCCGCCTTCGATCCGCGATCTACTCCTGCCGTACGTCTACGCCTCGGTGGCCATTACCGAGCGGCAGGTCGACCAACTGCGCCTCCATCAGGTGCACGCGAAGCATCGCGGCACCGGGCTCGAGGGATCCTGGCGGGCACTGCAGGCCCAGATCCGCCTCAGCGAACCCGAAGGCGGCGTCACCACCGAGACCATCGACGGGACGTTGGGTGCCATCCGCAAGGAGCTCCTCACCCAGGAGGTCAAGCTTGCGACCAAGGCGGCCGCGGCCAGTCGGGCATCCAAGGCAGGGAGCAGCGATCCCCCTTCCCATTCGAGCGGCCAGGCGGGGAAGCGAAGCAAGCGCCGCAATCCCCCTCAAGCGTCGCGTCCCCCTCAGGACGCGTAGCTGATTTTCCGTATAACCGCACTCGCGGCCGGCTTTCGGCATGGCGGAGGATTGGAGCGCCCTCACACGTTCTACATTGGATCCATTCGGGTGTTCCGCTGCCATGGGGACCGCAGGGCCCCCCTCCGGCCTTCGACCTGGGCGAGTACCCGATCCGTTCCGCGGAGGAGCGGGCGGGCTGGGAATCCCTACGCGCGGAGTACTTGGCTTCGGGAGCGATCGTGAAGGTAGAACCCGGTCCGGAGTCTCGAATTTCGCGCGCCTTTCTGGTCGAGAAAGGACGGGAGAATGGGGTGATGAAGTTCCGACTTTGCATCGATTTACGTCGGGTGAATCGTCACCTCCGCAAAATGGGTTTGCGGTATGAAAAGATGAGGGATTTTGGTCACTTGCTTCACAAAAATGATTTTCTGGTTGGGTTTGATATTAAGGATGCATACCATCACTTGCGGATGCGTTCTCAGGATGAATGTTTTTTACAATTCCGTATGGGCGGTGAAGTCTTTGCTTGCCGGGCTCTACCGTTTGGCTTGGCATTATCGCCTTATTTTTTCACCCATTTCATGTTGGTGGTGACTAGATTCCTTCGGTCCCCCGGCTCGTGTGCCAAGGCGGCGCACGCTTTTCGGTTTGGTTGTTTAGCGGGGAATGATGCCATTCAGCGGTATTTTGTGCGGTATACCCACGAATCTCCTGCGGTCCTGTTAGCCTACTTAGATGATTTTCTGGCGGCCATGAGTGATCCCGCCAAATTGCGCCAATGGTCTCATTTGGTGCGGGAGATTTTTCAAGCTTTGGGCATTCGTTTCAAGGACCGAAAATGTCAGTGGGATCCCGTGCAAAGTAAAAGGCATTTAGGAATCGTGATCGATACCAAGGCTTGTCGCTTTTACGTTCCTTTGGACAAATCGGCTTCCATTGCCGAACGGGCTCGGATCCTTAGGGCCCGCCGCTGGGTGGTGGCCCGCGACCTAGCTCGTTTTTGCGGGCAGGCTATCTCCCTTTACCTAGCCTTCCCCTTGGCCCGCTTTTTCTTGCAGGGCCTGTATGCGGTGCTACGTACCAAGCGATCTTGGCGTGATCGCCTTCGCTTGACACCCCAGGCCTGCCTCGATTTAGAGGCTTGGATTCACATTCATCGGTGCGAGGGCCGCCCCCTCAATCCTGATGCCGTCCCGTTTGCGGGCACGATGGCGACGGACGCCTCGTTGACGGGCTGGGGGGCCACTTTCGCGCCTCCTCATTCGGATCGACCGAGGTTGGCTCGAGGATTTTTCGATCGTTCGTTGACGCACATCAATGTGCGTGAACTGCAGGCGGTGGCCCTGGCCATTCGGGCCTTTTTTCCGGTCGATTCCCCCTCGATCTCGGCGCGGCTGCGCCTCCTGGTGGATTCGCAGGTCGTCCTTTTCTGTATCCGCAGCATGACGACCCGTTCCGACCAGCTCCGGGGGCCCCTACGCCAACTGCAGCAGATCTGTTCGGCCCGATCGCTGCTCCTCGATCCGGAGTACATTCCGTCCCAAGACAACACGATCCCCGACCAACTGTCGCGGGTGCGGGGTGGGGAGGACTACCGCCTCAGTCCGTCCATTTTCAAGACAATTACACGGACGTTCGGCCCGCGGACCATCGACCGCTTTGCTTCCCATCGCAATTCCCTCTGCCCCCGGTTCAACTCGCGGCATCACGAGCCGCATTCGGCGGGAGTGGACGCCTTCCTCCAGGATTGGACGGGCGAGGCCAATTGGGCCAACCCGCCTTGGTCGCTTCTCCCGCGCCTCACGGCGTTCCTGACGGAGCACCCGGCGGTGGAAGCGGTGGTCTTGGCCCCGGACTGGCCGTCCGCCATGTGGTTCCCGCAGCTCTGTCGCCTGGCCTCGCGGGAGATGGTGATTCCCCGCCAGCCGGGGATGTTCATCCCGGGGGATCCGGCTCTCCCGGCTGCTCTACCTCCCCCCCGGTGGAACCTGCGGGTGTTCCACATTCAACCGACGCCTCAGACAACGACTCCACCGACGTGAGGCCGCAATCTCCCCCGGGGTCGCCGGTGGCCGACCCCCTCCCGGTGGAGGTCATGCCGCCCGATCACCCGCTTTTCGGCTGCGACGTGGACGGCCTTTCTTCGTCGGATCGCTCCTGGATGCAAGCCCAGTTCCTATCCTTCTACACGGAATCTACGCGCCGATCGATGCATTCCAAATTCGCCAAGTTCTCCGCTTTCTGCGAGAAGCACGACCTCGTGGCGCTTCCCGCGCGCCCGTCTTCCATTTATCGGTACGTCCGTTTCCTACGGGAGGAGGGTCGCGTGGGCGTCCGGAGTTTACCTCAGTACCTGGCCGCTATCTCCATGGTGCACCAGTCCCTGGGCCACCTGGAGTTTTCGGCCTTCGATTCCGTCACTCGGCGGCTCACCCGGGCGTGGAGGCGTGACGAGCCGAACCCGGCGCATTCCCATTGTCCGGTGCCCACCGCGGTGCTGCGCGGTATCCTGGAGTTCGGCCTGACTACGGGGGATCTCCGCCTGCTACGCGCGGCTTGTTCCGCCCTCTTGGATTTCATTTTCTTCAATCGCGCGCAGAGCGGCCATCTCATTCTCCTCGAGGACCTACGGCTCGAGAATGGCCTCCTGGTCTTTCGCGAGCGGAAAACCAAGCTCTGCGCGACCACCGACCCATGGATTCGCTGCCGCTCCTGGCCTTCAAGCGGCGCCCCCGGGGTGGTGGATCTTTTTCTTTGATGGTCTGCGGCCCGCGACAAAGCCTGGGCGGATGCTGGAGCCTCCCCGAGCCACTTCTATACCTTACCGGGTGAGGCCGATCCGTCCGCGGCGTCTGTCTCCAGTTGGTTCCCTACCCTCCTCCGCGCGCTCCCCTCGCCGCCGCCCGACGCCTTCGATCATCATGGCCTGCGTGCGGGCGGGGCCAGTGCGTGCTACTCCCTGGAGGTGCCGGAGGGGCGCATCCGCGCCTGGGGCGAGTGGCGCAGTAACGCCATGTGGAAGTACATCGACGTGTACCGGCTGCCTACAGAGTGGGATTACAGACTGTTTGGCTGGATGACGATTACTGCGCGGGACCTGCACGCGCAGTACGGGCATCTCTTCTGCCCCGGAGGGGCGTCATCGGCCCAAGTGTGACCAAGGCATGACCACGCCTTCGCTCCCGAGGAGCTGCACCGTGCCCCAGGGTGAATGGGCACGTTCAAGTGGGTCGCCAATTGGGTCTTGTATTAGTGGGGTGATGGACACCAAACTGTGTGAATGTAATGTCTTGTCGTGTGGGGAACACGGGGGGGGGTTGAAGGAGACCGGTACAACAGAAATATAATTAACTATCCTGTTAATGAGTTTCTGCGAAGGGCGACGATTGGGAGGGCGCGTAACGGCCAGGTTGGGCCGTTCCGCCCACTGGACAGTTTGGGGCCATCCAATAGCCGGTTTCTGTCACCCCTGTACTCGGGGTCAGTGCTGCCCGACGTATCCAAGGGAGCTTGGGTGGATCTTTGTACCTTGGGCGTGGCCAAGGGGACCGGTCAAGCTGGCCCTTGGGTTTGGCGGGGAGTTTGGCGGCAAGTGGGAGTGCTATTTCAGGCGCGACCCTTGGCGCCCCCCTTATCTTGTTTCGCACCCGCCCGGCCCACCCGAATAGAGTGAGTTCGGTTAGCTGTGGGATGGAGAGGGAGTTGAGTACGAGGAAAGGGGAGCTGACTCTGGGTGGAGTCACCATCAGGGTGGCATTAAGTACAATGCGAAGCGAGGGCACGTTCAAGTGGGTCGCCAATTGGGTCTTGTATTAGTGGGGTGATGGACACCAAACTGTGTGAATGTAATGTCTTGTCGTGTGGGGAACACGGGGGGGGGTTGAAGGAGACCGGTACAGCAGAAATGCATACAATGGAGGTGTGCAACCAGAAGAAGACGCACAGCTGTTGTATGATGTTCACGTGTAAGAGGGCAGCGGGAAAGAGGCTCGACATGAAGACCCCATCCCCACCGAACGCATCCGATGCCTCCCACCCCGTGGCTCAACTGAGTAAAGGCAGAAGTTGCGGGGATCCCGAGCAATTGCCTGGCGCCGACTGTCCAAAATCAGTAGTCGTACCTGCACGATCGCACTGGCTTCTCCACGCCCTGTCAAGGCGCATTGTGGCTTTGGCCAGTGGTGGTTTGAATTGAAGATTCATGCCCAGATGCGGCTGTGCTGTGGCTGCGGCGCCATCGCCCCCGTGTGTCACTCGCACCTCGCTTGCATCAACAACCAACGATGGCCGCATTGCCGCTTGACTGGCACCAAACCTCCCTCCACAGCTGCCAAAGCTTCTTCTCCCGTGCCCCTGTCTCAGTTTCGCCTATTCCTCCACCAGGAGGGGGCAAGCACTGACTCCTGTTGGCTGCAGCGTGCATGCCGGGCACTCTAGTTCATGAAGTGCAACACGTTGTTGAACTCGGTTGATATCAACGACAGCGTAGTGGTAGACGTCGAGGCCCATCGAGCCATTTTGGACATGGCAGTGCAAAAGCAATTTCACGTTTGCCCCGTGTCGCCAACTGCTTGAAATACTTCTGCGCATGTACAACCATTGACAAACAATTTTCGCAGCATAAGAATTGACGGATTCTGTATTTAATTTGACTAGTTTGGGCACAAATTTGGGCTTTGTATTAAATTTCAATGAACAAATCATGGACACGGCTTTGCTGGGCCAAAATAGGAAGCCGACAGCTACCTCCTGTCGGGATGTGCGTAATATCATGGCGGCGATGACAGCACCGCCACCACCACAACACAAGTGGCCGGACGTCGCAGCAACATCTCTATGACTTTCTACGCTGCATGCAAGTAGCGCCCTCTGTGCTGTTGGGCCATATTGCTAGGGCGAGAAGAGGCCTCTTCTACCTGGCAATTCCTGGCGCTCGGCGTGATCTACGCTTCCCACGTTGCCTGAACAGATCAACACCCACATTTGTCGATTGTTACCGCCATCATCATCATCAGCAGCACACATTTTACATAACAAGGGATTCTTACATCACAATTTTTTAATGCATAACTGTCTCTATCGAACGTCGGAGACGAAAGCCAAACGCCAATAATCTGCTTCGACTCGATGGAGCCTTTTTTCAGTCGGCGCCATCTCAGGTCGCGTCGGACGTTCAACGGCCTCCCCCAACACCCCAACTGGCGCACCCCTCCACCCCCGCCACCGAACCCGGTATCAGTGCCCCCGCACACCCTCAGAAGCATAAAAGTGGGACAAACACTCTGGACATGCCACGGATGGCGCATGGCCTGTGAAGCCGAAACCTTTGTACGCAAGGGATCCCAGTTTAATGGCAAAACTTCTCTCTCACCCTCAGAAGCACTCCCGTCGCCGGTGCTCGACGACGCCCGCACGCGCCCAGGGGCCTCCCGCGGCCCGTCAGTCGCCCATCTGAATGTAGGATTCGCCGATGAATCCATCGAGGGACCGCGCGGACGTGTCGCATATATCGTGGTCGTGTTGCAACATGCGATCGCACTGTCAATGTACCGGTGTGACCCCTGGCGCACTCCGCGATCGCATCAGTCATGCGATCGCGGGCTGGAGTGTTTGTCAACACTCCGACCTGCGATCGCGTGAGTAAAGTATGTAATGTAATGGCCGCTGTTCCGGTCTGACACCGCGCCAGAGCCGCCAGAAAGCCCTACGGTTACGTGTTGAGCCGAGCGGCCGACCGCTTTGCGGCCGCCAACGCGAGGAGCCGCGGGGGACACTTGGGAGGGGGTCGCGGGAGAACATGGTGGGTGTGCGACTTGAGATTTTCGAGGCGTTGTTGCCGGTGGGAGGGGGAAGTCTTCCCTTGTCCGCTTAGGCAGACAGGAGGCGGTTGGGGGCGGAGGAGTGCTGGGGCACTGGGAGGGATGTGGAGCTTGTGGTCCGGGGTCCGCGCGGCAGTTTGTTTTGAGCGCAAAGGGAGGAGGCGGTGCGTTGAAGGGCCACGTGCGGTTTGCCGAGAGGGACGCCGCCCCGAGGCGCTCGTCGCGCGTCTGCAGGAACTCAACGCTGTTGACTGGGGAGGACTTTCCGGTTGAGGTGGCGGGGGGGAATTGACCTGTCAGAGTGCGCTTTGTCGTGACCCGTCCGGGGGCCTCAAGCGAATCTGGAAGGTGGCAGGTTCCGTCATCGCGGCGGCGGGGACTTGAAGAAGTTGACCGGAGCGCGGTCGCTTTTGACCGCGAGGTGACCCAAGGGTCAGCTGTGTGGATTCTGGAAGTTTTCCTGGGCTGCTGCCGCTCGGCGAGGATGGCACCGTGATGTGTGTTGATCACGGGGCTGGGATGGCGATCGATGCGGAGCCCGCCGCCCTGCGGCACCGAATTCTGTCTTGGATGCAAATGATTCCGAATTTGACTTTAGTCACTGAACGTCCACCGGCCTTCTGTGCCTCAAATGAACGTTGAGGGGCGGGATGAGTGCATTGTTGGATCGTTCGCGTGTGGCTCCATAACCGTGGATTGACACTGAAAATTGAGTTGCGGCGAAATTTGTTGGGCGCGGTGCTGGGCTGGCGGCTGCCTCCTCGCCTGGGCACTGAATTTCATCTTTGTATTCGTTGCTCATTTGCATTGCCTGTGATTTCGTAAATTGGACAACTGCATTCCGGCATTCTTCCATCCAGAGATGTCCTGTCCCGATGCGACCGTAACTCGGATATGGATATACGCGGATGTTACTGGCATGGAACCGGGTACGAAAGTTGACCGGTTTGCCCCGGGCAAAATGGCAGCTTATGCAGCCGAAGTATCAGCACATATTATAGTTCTCTATAGTATTATATCGTATAGTATCTCATAGAAAAGTTCTCTGTGGTGTCTGGCTGAAATGAATTCATATATTAAGGTATAAATGATACCATTTGGCACGCATGATCCTTGCAGGGGGCGACATGGGAGTCTCGATACGACCAGCCCCAGTCCACCTACGGCAATCATGGGCTGAGCCAGTACGTCAAGGTGCGCGCCCCGCACTTCATCGCCTTGCCATTGCAGGAGAAGTTCTATGCTTTCTTGCATCGAATGTAGCTTAGTGGAATGCATTCCACTAAGCATATGCTGACATCATCTTGAAGAGCGCCCCCTTGATAAATTTGGTTCTTCGAGTGGGGAGAGTGTTGGCACGTCTGTGCGACACTCCATGGCACGTTGCCAGCTAGATGTATAGTTCAAAAACGAATAATTTCACTAAAATTCCTGCAAAAATACACTCACAATAACAAATTGTGATCGCAGCAAACTTGGATCGTGTTCAGGGCGTACATAGCATCAATTGCACAGTCTAGGCACACCGCGAGGAAAGAAGATAGGCTGGCATCGTTAGCCCGGCATTTGACTCTGATGCGAAGAGCGTTGAACAATCGACAATTAATTGATGTTCAATGATTCTACACATGTGCCACAACAAATTGAAATATTACACATTAACTAGTTTGAGTGATACAGATGGTGCTTCATGAACTAAATTTACTAATCTACTGGCAGTGGGCTATTTCCCGTATACTTTGGTAAGAGTTTGTTACTGATTCATGCAAATGTGATTGCGTTGAGAGTCTCAGCTTGAGACATGCATTCCCACATGAGCCAAAGACTGATCCACTGCAGGCATTGGACGGCCACCATGACAGTGCCGAGGGCACGGCGGGCCGTCTGCGGAACAGGCTCAGGGAGGTCCGCAGCGAGGCGTGCACCAACGAGAGGAGCCTGGACATTGCCAAGAGATCTTTAGGCAGGATAGAGTCCGAGAAACAGCGACTGGAGGTGCCCACCAACTCAATTTTGCGCAACACGCAGCAAGTGCCAGGCGAACGCGCTGCAGCCGGCGTTTATGTACCGTAGTATATTCAAAGCTTCGCATCCAAAAATTTACAGCTACGCTTTTTTCTACGTCTTTTTTTCAGAGCGTCATTAAATGAAAATTTTTCATTTTCTGTGCGTTGCTCCGAAAAAGGTTTATTAAAAAGCGGTATTTAATATACTGCTTTCTCCGGAAAAATGGCCAAGCTTTGCGTTACTGTGCGGAAGGGTTGAATTGGCTGTCGGCTTAACATCGATATATAAGTTGGTCGTTTGGCGCCTGACATCTTAGATGTGATGCCATGCTCTGAAATAAATGAGCACTGCTTAGTGCATTGGTGGCGGGCTCGCGTCTGGAAGGGCGTGGCACATGCTATCGCGGGCATTCATCGCGAGGTGTGCGCGGTAAATGCTATCAAGATACAGGTGAAAAGCGTAATAGGAATCGGTTCTCATGGCATGAATTGGTACCAAAAACTGTTTGAAATGAAATAGCAGGTTCTTCGCCAAAGTGACATAGCCTCAGCACACTTAGCAGCTGTGTTAAATGTTCTTTTTACTAGTGACGGGTCCACATAGAGCCACAGAGGATTCAATACAGGGTTTGCTATTTACGGATCAATGCTCACGTATTTACACGTATCTGCGCGTGTAAGTAGTTTTCTCGTTTTTGAACGTAAGCGGGCATTAAAATGCGTAGAAATGGGCCCATGCGTACATAAAGACATAAAAAACAGGCTCAGGGAGATCGAGAAGTTGTAGCCAGAGGAGCTGAAGTGGGCAGAAAACGACCAACTGTTCGACAACGTTGTTGTACTTGCGAAGGCCGAGGCGGATGCTATGTTTCGGGTGCCCCAGCGGATCGTGGACTGGTCATTGTTTGTGACATTGTCATGTAACCTGGTTGTATAGAAAACCTACTAAAAATCCCAAATACTTGCTGCAAAATTGCTGCTTTTCTATTTATGAGATTTAACGCAGAAAACCGTAAGCAAAATATTCGAGTCGTAAACGGAAATAATAAGCCCGTTCAGTACAACATGTTCCTGATGGTGCGCTATCCTCACACCCAGCTACGACGTCTGAATCAGTCCTGGTGCCGCAACACCACCGAAAGACTAGAAGAGAGAGTAGTGGCACCAAAGGGCGAATAAAACTTCTTTCTTTCAGGAAAATCCCTTTAAAGAAAATTTCCTTATGTGTGCAAAAATGTCTCTACTGCAGAGATGCCTGGGTTTTCGAGCCATGCATTGTTTCCAATGCAGGCGTCTGCCGCTTCAGACAAGGCTTACATACGAAAACTGGAAGCCAAGATTTCGGCCACAAAATCATCAGCGGATCTCCAGTCGCGCTGTGAGTTCTACAAAAACAAAGTGAGTAATAGGAATTGGTGTCCGCCGTGGCCTTATATCTTCTCTTGGGCATGCCGTCACAAAATGTTCTCTGCAGATATTTGCAATGTGCAGTATTGGGCGTTCCAACATCCACTATTGACATATTTATAATGAATTCTCCGACGGCGATTGCATCACCCCCATTGTCTGTGTCGGACCGATTCCCTTGTCACAAACATTGAACCATAATGAATGTATACATAGACATAATGGTAATTATTGATGGAATGTAAGCATAAATATATGGTGCGAATTGCCATTCGCTCGGACCGCAGATTCACATGCAGAATATGGGTCGATACTACGGGTGCCCTGATCTTCGCAAATAATTTTAATATATGTGTTTGCGGTACCATTCAAGGGCAACAGAAGGTCCGCATTTTAGCGCTGTTGCCGGTCATTCTATATTTGGTAGAGCATTGAAAACCGATGTCAGTGGCAATATAAATTCCAATCTCCAGCACAACTGGCACCCTTTGTATGTCCATTTTGCGTGCTGCGAATTCATTTCATCGCATGCGAATTCGAACATGATGCCTGCGCATATTATGTCAAAAATCAAGAGCTGCAATAGGAGCGGGGTTCGCGTTCAATTCAGCAATTTAGGGAAGAAAACAATGAGTACGTGACAAAAAATGCAAAATCGCCGAATTGTTGACACCGTAAATGCAGACAATCGTTTCTGCAGGCCCGCGGGCTGGAGGAAGAGGTGCGCGCATTTGAAGCTCGTTTGCACGCCAGCGAGGAGGTGTGCAGGCACAGAGGCGAGCAGGCCAGGCACCTGCAGAGGGCCCTGGACTTGAAGGCCAAGGAGCTGTCCGTGGACGCCGGAACCGACGTGCAATCCCGCTTGCTGTGTGCAGTCGCAAAGGTGTCGTCGAACGTTCTCCCCGAACTGCTATTTCCTCGTATTTTATTTCTTCACGAAGTGGCTGCAATCATTAGTAACTGTTTTCAGCGCATCGACAACTGTTTCGAATATCTCCAGACATGTCAATCAATTATTAATGCACAGGTACTTCTTGTGGATTGGAGAACATGTGCTCAAATCTGCGTCACGTGTTGGATGATGTATTAGCAAGAGAATCGACACGTGCATATTCCTCGACATCACGCCCTTTCAGTGAAACACGCCACTATTGACCGATTTGTTCAACGCGAACAGTGGAGAACTGTCCTGTATGCTGTTGGACGTGATCGAGTGTCAACAGACAAAAATATTGGCAGAGTGTTAACTTGAACGTTCAAGTGCTCATGAGCAATTGAACAAGCCTTATCAAGCAATTGATCAACCCATGGTGGTCTCCCCATGGAATTTTAGCATGTGGCTGCAGGCTGGATATTGGCATTACACATATTGCATGCTATTCATGGAATCACAAGCTCACCCCACATGAGCTTGCAGGCATGACGCATTAATGGGTAATTTCTAAAGAACAGTGCCATAATGGTGGGAGTGATGCATTCTTTTCACCAAGTTTTATCGCACACAATGTGATATATTTGTCATATTCATTTCAAGCGGGCTTGAAGCGACATGCCTTACGGGGGCGCAATGTTTGCGCTGAAATCTCTTAGAACATTTATGTTAGACATCGAAAAATGAAAGCTCCGGTAATTTTGAAACGCTCAATGAACCAGCCTTATTTGCCATGGAACCCGGTGGAATCAGGGTATTCAGCGTCTTCACGGTTTTAATGTAATCCAGAGCATTCAGCGTATTCAGCGTATCCAGTTTGTTCAGCGTATTCAGTGCATTCAGCGTGCTCGGTGCGTTCAGCGTTTGAACACATTCAGCGTATTCAGGCGTTCTTAAAAAATCGCTTTGTTGATGAGACAGGGGGAGGAAGACTGCAGCCAGCTGGCGGCTCAGCTAGCCGATTCTCGTAACACAGTTCGGCGCATGGAGGAGCAGCTGAGGAGCGTGGATTCTGGCGGGCAGAACAAGAGCTGTCGCGGGGTGTGTCTGCAAATACTTCCATCGCAGTTGCTGTTCGCGTCAATCTTCAGCCGAAAATCGTTTCCAGTGTGGAAATTTAGGTAATTATTAGGTAATAACTAATAAACGTGCAAAGTGAACGAACAGAATAACATGCTTCAACCGTGATGGTACAGGATTGGTGTTAATCGTTGGATTTATCGATAATCAATAAGAATGTAGCCATGATTGATAAGTGCGGAATAGATTGCGCGCAACACGAATCTGGACGCCTGTTTGTTTGCCAGCAATTGGCAAGCATGTTTTTATTCCAATTTGATAGAACTACCAAAAGAGCAGGATGATAGAGGCACAAAACGACTGAACATTGTAATTATTGTCGATAATTAATAAAACTAGCAAATAAAAATAAATTATTTGCTAAATTTGTTTAAATTGTTCTGATCCAGCTCAGCTCTGGCACCGGGAGCGGGACGACAGTCGAGGCCCTGGAGCAGCAGCTGGCGGAGACGATAGCCACCTGCCGGCAGCACGAGCGTGAGACCGAGGAAGTCCGGTCCCAGATAAGGGAACTGCAGCGGAGGGTGGAGCGCGCCATGCTGGAGAAGAGCGCCCTGGAGGAGAGGATCAACAAAGAGAGGAACGACAAGGGCGACGTGGAGGGCAGGCTGCGGGACGCCACGCGGCTTGCGCGCATGGATGTGAGCATGGGTTTCCCGATCCCGAGGTGTCGAACACGATTCGGACCAGAAGGTTCCGTCGCTCCCCCTGCCGTAGCGAACCCATTGGCGCTCGCTCCAGCACAACTCGCTTTCGCTGTGTGCGTGACTTTCGGAGCGCGCGTTTGTTTAACTGTAAGGATGTCCCATTGCATTGCTCAACAGTTCAGAGGGGGTGGGGGTGGATCCTGGTGGGCGGGGCGAAACTGCGGGGCCACAGAAATTATTCAGGAAATTGAAAATTTTCGGAAAAGCCGCTGCTAGCAGTGCTCTCGTTTAGAAGCAGTAACAGGCCTGTTGCCCAGTCTTATCGCTTGCAACGCAGGTCAACGCAGCAGCGAACTATCATAGGCACATGCGGTGCCACAAAAAAAAAGTGGAAAATCCGGCAATAATTGAAAATAATATTGTCTGACAATGCGCACCAACTCACGTCCATCCGCCCAAGGCTGGCCGCTGCCAGCGGTGTGGATCATTTTACTCTCGGCGATACAGAATGAAGTACAAGTAGATTCCCAATGGCATCCGCAATTCAGACCGCCGATGATGGTGCGACACTTTGGCTGCTCTTGAATCGTTCTCTCCGGGCAATAACCGCAGGCCGAAAACATCCGTTCGGAAATGTCTGCTCTGCTGGAAAATGCGAAGGCCGAGAATGCGGAGCAGAGGCGGTCACACTCCAGGAAGGAAGAGGAGCTGACGAGCAAGTGCGAGGGGATGTCGCAACAGATTCAAGATTTGAGGGTAATTTTCCCGCGTGTTAACGCCGAGCGTCGTTAAATTGACAGATTTTCTCCTGATATGTGTCGATGGTGCTTGAATCGCACTTGCTGGACAATACAGAGGGATTGAACTCTTCATCGAAGGCAGTGAGGAGTATAAAATGCAGTGACGAGTATCAAAGGCAGTGAGGATGCATACGCATGTCCTGGAGATGTGTGCCTGTATCCGTGGGCGCAGAAGACTCGGATCAAGTATGAACTGTTGAATCTCACTTTGGGATGTTGATTGATCTTGATGCGTCCACGATGTGAGGCGATTATGTTCCATTTCTACTTAACCACTGAATGACAACATATGAATGTGGTTAATGTAAAGCTACGTTACTTCGTGCAACACTTGCTCTGAAAGGGCTCAAGATCTGCCACCAGCAAGGCCACGCGCAGTGTGCATATGTCATATGACTTGGCATATACATAAGACTGTTTATGAATGTAGTATACAATTTAGTTTGCATAGCCTCCGACAAAACGTACATTATATACAAGATGCGCACTGTAAACACTGCGGAATTGCGATGCCTCTTTCGAACGAACAATGCACTAGAAATACGCAGTAATCAACAGACACTTCCAAGTTCCGTGCTCGCGTGCACCGGTGCAGCATTTGAAAATTGGACTGCCGCAACAAATAATCAAAGGGCTGCCCCATTTCCGTTGATTTAGATGCTTCTATCGTCTTCGAGGAAGTCCGCAGACGAGTCTCTCAGCTGGGAAAGGGAGAGATGCGGCAAGCTCATGGAGCAGGCGGACAGGAGCGCCCAACGGGAGAGGGAGCTGGAAGAGGAGTGCGCCAGAGCGAACGCCAGAGCCGATGAAGCCACGCAGAGTAGCGAGCGTCTGAGTGCGGATTTGGACGCCTTGAGTCGTCGTCGAAGCGCAGATGGGGAGAGGGAAGCGGATCTGCAGATGCAGGTGAGGCAAGGGAATCTCTCGAGGGAAAATTGGCCAAAATACACGGTTTCGAACGGTGCAATATCGTGTAAAACCGTGTCAAAACTTGTAAAACTCGTGTGCACTCAGTCCCTACTACGCGGGTTGGTCCCACTTTCACGCGATAGATACACGATTTTACAGGGTTTTTATACGACTTTCAATCCTTTTACATGATATTCGACTTTCGAAACCGTGTATTTTGGTCTGCTTTTCTGGGGTCCGCGGCAGTGGAGGATCTCGCTGAGGCCATTCAGTCATTTGATGTCGATGGGGCATTCTGCACCATTGGAGACGCTGCTGCGGCCACAGCACCACCGCAGCGGTGGCGCCGTGGCACAAAATGCAGGCAAAATTCAATTTCTGGCAGTTTTGACAACCAGTAGCAGTTTGGCACTGGTTGCCAAAACTGCTTGAACGCTGGCTAACCAGCGTTGGCGTTTGGCGCTGGTCAGCGTGGCTTTGTTGCTGGGCGTCGCATTTGATGACCGTTAACGAGTATCGTAGCAATAATTGAAAGTATCCTGGCTGGAGTCTAGCGATCAATGTCGGTATCATCTTGGCGCAGAGTCACATGATCGCACGCTCATTTCGAGCCATTTACTCTAATATCAAATCTTGTGAAGGTATAAAAGTCGTGCAGCTATGGCGCGAAGCGTATTGGATGTTTGGGTGGATAATTTTGATCACCCAATCAGCTTAAAACCAGTGGGCATTGAGTGTGATGCTCTGAGGGGCGGCAACGTGAACGCTCCTGTCGGGGCAGCCACGTCGCAATGTCGATCGGGTGTGTGACAGCCAGATCTGGAGGCAAGCGGATCCACTGTACGGAAACTTTCCAAGCCTAGGACACCACACAGAATTTCAGTACGAAGTTCGTGATGCAGGTGGCTTCCCTTCAATCCACCGTCGACTCACTTCGGGAAGAGAAGCGCAGCGGGGAGACCAGCCTACGCAGCAAAGTCGAATGCCTGCTTGGAGAACTCCACATCGTCATTCGGGACAAGGACGACTTGAAGGCCCAGCTTCAAGAAGCCAGAGCCAGTCTCAGCTCGTCGATGGCCTCTTATGAGCATACCCGGCGCGAAAACCGCCAGCTGAAGGACGCAAACAGCGCCCTGAGCAAGTCGAAGGTAAAGCTCACCTGCAGCGAAAATGCCCAATGCCTGCAATGGTTGTTCTCTGGAAAAAAGTGGTAGGTTCCGCCGATCTGGAATGCACGCTAAGTTTCTCACCATCATTGGCAAACGGCAGCTGGAGTTGAGACACCTGGAATGTTATTTGAAAATGCATCGGAACTGCCACACTGGATTTCGACCATTTCAGTACGTGAAAGGAACCGACACTAGTAGAGAAAGGGCCAAATAACATTTATTGCAAACACATATATGTGCATTTCATCAGTGTTCTGCATGCTAAGGACACGGAAATAACACAAACCTGTAAATTTTGCACATGACATGTTACTTGGCCCCTCTTTTCCTAGGGCGAAATAGATCTGAAATTGCCCTCTTTGGACTGCAGACTATGCTTCAGGACACCATGTTCGAGCAGATGGGCACTGTGCGCTCGCAGCTGGATGAGGCCCGAAGCCGAAGCCAGGAACTGGACAAGGCCGTCAGTCGCAATAAGCTGTCAAGCAGCTTCCGATCGGGGCGTGAGCTGGGGGCGTATGGAGTGTAAATTCTTGTCGAATGTTGCATGGGCTTGTAGATGACCTATAGGATGCGATTGGTTGGTGGTATTTTTGCTTTTAGAAGACGGGCCAGAATTCCGGCGGTGTGCAGGTTTGGAATGCGAAGGATAACAAGTTCCCCATTGCAACGGAGCAATCTTGGGGATGGGATCTCAGTGCATGCAATTGCCACTATGTGAATTATGTGGATTATGTGGATACTTGTATAGGCCATTCAGGGCCACGAAAGAAGGCATGCCTTGAGACGGCATCCACACGGCGCGCAAATTAGGCTGAGAATCTCGAACAAAACGGTATGCAATCTTTCTTGGTACTTGGTGGACATTCCGGGGCGTGCACTGTGGTGTAAAATTACCCCTTAGCTAGGGATTTTGCACTCCTTTGAAAGCATTCTTTGAGCTCGTGGAAATGGCCGCCTGCATTTTGGCTCTGCAGGAATGGCAATAGAAAGCGAAAATGAAAAAGCCGTGTCTTCCACAGCGACTGCGAGACATTGACGCCATTTTCAACACGAATATTCGTGCATTAATGCACCTGTGCAGAGCGACATTAATGTCGCATCATGTCACGTAATATTATGTGCAGGCTCTTTTTCAGGTGACGAATGATTTCCTGGTGACATGGGTTCAACAATACAAATGTTGTTGGCTGGATGTCGCACTGCAGTGGATCTGTCAGCCAATTGAGCACACGTGTGCGTGTTGCGCGTGAACAGAAGCGCGGCGCTCTGGCAGGCTTACTGCCACGCGCTAGTACTGTAAAATAGTAAGCCCTTCCACACAGTAACATAACTCTGGGCCTTTTTTGGCGGAGAAAATATATGAAAAATAGTGCAGACCTTGTCCTTTCTGTGCGGGGCAACTTTAAAAATATAGAAATAGCGCTCACTAGGAAAAAAAGGGCCAAATAACACGTGTTCAAACGTGTACAAACTTTACGGGTTTGTGTTGTTGTTGTGTTCTTAGCGTGCAGAAATTTGATGAAATGTGTTTTATGCGTGTTCGCAAAAGTGTTATTTGGCCCTTTTTTTCCTAGTGGCTCTGAAAGTAAAAAGGGGAGCAAAAAGCACAATGGTGAAGTTTTCTGATGCGGAAGGGTTGAGTATTTTGCTGCACTTCCACAGTTGGGAGCAGTTGGAGAGTTATGCTCACGTGTGGTGAGGAAAATCAATACACGTAATCATGACTCCCCGATTCCAAGTGGGACTAACTTGACGCTGAATATTGGGAATAGTATTCCGTCAAATGCGCCATCTATGAATGGGGCGGAGGCTCAGCTCATCAGAGGAATTTGGGAGGTTCCAGCGGACGCATCAGAGTAGCTGCAGCACGACTGTTGTCTGCCGACAGACGCCTCTTTCTTAGAAGGCGCCATCGCCCTTCTGGGAGCGGAAGGTGTACGCAGCGGGAAAGATTTTCTGCAGAAAGCGGGAAACATGTC